GGCTTAGTGGTAGAGGCTTGCCTAGCATACACTGGGTTTGATCCTCAGCACCACATTAAAAAACAATGAAAAAAAAAAACCCACAAAGGTATCATTGTGCATATACAACTAAAAAATATTTTTAAAAATACGATAGTGTGTAAGTACTCAGGATCTCTGGGTGATAGGATGGTAGATGATTTTAACTTACATTTTTATGTTTTCCAGTTTTTTTTTTTTTTTAGGGACCTAAGGTGACATTTACAATCAAAGAGTTTTTAGCTGGGCATGGTGGTGCATGCCTGTAATCCCAGCGGCTTGTGAGGCAGAGGCAGGAGGATTGAAAGTTCAAAGCAAGCCTCAGCAACTTAGTGAGGCCCTAAGCAACTTAGCAAGACTCTATCTCTAATAAAAAAAAAATGAAGGTGAGGGCTGGGATGTGACTCAGTGATTAAGAACCCCTGGGTTTAATCCCCACTAACAATAGCAACAAAAAAGTTTTTAAAATGACATGAAATTTCTGAGGGTGGTTGTGTTGATCTTCTGTTTTTTTTTTTTAATATTAATTTTTCAATTGTAGTTGGACACAATACCTTTATTTTATTTTATTTATTTATTTATTTATTTATTTATATGTGGTGCTGAGGAGTGAACCCAGGACCTTGCACATGCAAGGCAAGCGCTCTACCGCTGAGCCACAACTCCAGCCCCAATCTTCCATTTTCCTTCTTTGTAATCAAAAGGAATGATTAAACATTGAGCTATATAAGCAAGTCCTCTTGGGTTTATCTCTAAACCACACTTATCTCCCTTTCCACTACTAGCCCCCCCAATGGGAACCATCTCTCCCTGAACACCTTCAACACTCTTTGATTGATTTTCTTTTTCATTCCTTCCTTCTTCTCCTGTTTCTTCTCCTTTTTTATGAGTAAAGGCACCATCCTCATCCTCCTCCTCTTATTATTCTTCTTGTCCTTCTCCTTTTCTGGGGGGGGCAGTACAGGGGATTGAATTCAGGGGCACTCCACCACTGAGCCACATCCCCAGCCCTTTCTTGTATTTTAGTTAGAGACAGGGTCTTACTGAGTTGCTTAGTTCCCCACTGTTGCTGAGGCTGGCTTTGAACTCTCAATCCTCCTGCCTCAGCCTCTCAAGCCACTGGGATTACAGGTGTATACCACCAAGTCCGGCTCCTTTTCTTTCTTCTTTTTCTTATCAGTACTGAGGATTGAACCCAGGGCCTGAAACCACCAAGCTACATCCCTAACCATTTTTATTTTTATTTGAGATAGGGTTTCACTAAGTTGCCCAGGCTGGCCTCCAATTGTGATTCTCGTGCCTCAGCCTCCCAAGTACCTCAGATTACAGAAGTGTGCTACCACACCTGGCTTCAATTTGCTGTATAGAATTTCTAATGATCTGAAATTATATTTTTGTTTTATTGTTGATATTGTTTTGTGCCTTTTCTTTTATTCAGTTTTTTAATATATCCCCAGCACTCAGTACAGTGCAATGTATGCAGTAGGTGATTTGCATCTTGTTGGATGAATCAGTACTAAGGTAGATAGATGTCCACCACTGTCTCTGAATCAGCAGTCATGCATGTAAGAGTTACTGCATGTAAGAGTTACTCCACAAAATGAAACATATACACAAAATTTCTGTAACACGATCGATAATAGAAAACTATTAGATACAATGCATAAGTCCCTCAATAAAGAGATAAACTAAATATAATAAGCTATAACATATTCATATGTTAGTCCTATACAGCAATAAAAATGAATGACAATTTTTGGGCTGGGGTTGTGGCTCAGTGGCGGAGCACTTGCCTCACACATGTGAGGCACTGGGTTTGATCCTCAGCACCAGAAAAAAATAAATAAACAAAATAAAAATATTGTGTCTGTCTATAACTAAAAAAGTTCTTTTTAAAAAGAATGAGAATTTCTGATAAAAATGAAGTTATTTGAAAAAAAGGATAAACAATAATCGAAATGGTCATTTATAGGAAATTAAGATAGGTAAGGGGATTTCTTGGAATATTTCCTTTTAATGTATTTTTGACTTTTGAAGTATGTAAATATTTCACGTGTTCAAAAGTAAATTTGAAAGAGTGAAATAAAAAATAAAATGTTGTAGTTGAATCAGAGCAAAATTGAGCCTTTATGATGAAACCATAGAGAGAAGGTAGTGAAATACCTTTTAAGCTCAGCTCTCTTACTGTGGTCCCTTTGTGGGACAAAAAGAATTGGCTTTATTCTTAGCATATTTGCAGTTGATAATGGTAGGGATGAAGTGAGTGTGAAGCTATTTTGAACAAACTTTTAAGATAGACTGTATCTGGTAGAGAAAAATGAGTAAATATATTGATGTTGTCAGAAATCAGAATTCTCACTGTGGAATGAGGTAAGGTGTGAAAGAACTGTGATGCTGGATTGTAATTGGAGGTTTCAGTATGAAAGTGTGATTTCTTAAAAATATATGTATTTCCAAGCTCTGTGGAAAGAGTCCAGGAATCAATGACACCCCAGTAGCAATGAGAATATTCTGCACATACATCTTAGTTTCTAAATACCACTCCCCACTAAAAGGAACTAGGGCTCTTTGAAAAAGAAATGGCTGATTCTTGGGTTTGAACAGGAATAACCAGAATAACTACATGATGAGCCTGGAGTTTGTTTGTTTGTTTTGGTATTAGGGATTTAACCCAGGGGTGCTTTACACTAAGCTACATCCTCAGCCATTTTAAAAAATTGATTTTATTTTTTAAATTTTGGAAGAGGGTTTCATTAAGTTGCTTAGGGCCTCGCTAAGTTGCTGAGGCTAGCCTCAACCTTGTAATCCTCCTGCCTCGGCCCCACTGAATTCCTGGGATTACAGGCATGTGCGACCATGCCCAGCTACCTGGAGCATCTTGTAGGGCCAGAAAGTAGGATATCATGGGGCTGGAAATGTGACTCAGCAGAACACTCGCCTAGCATGTGCGAGGCCCTGGGTTCGATCTTCAGCACCAAATAAAAATAAATAAAATAAAGATGTTGTGTCCAAGTATAACTAAAAAATAAAAATAAAAAAAAGTTGTTGCCTGGGCACCCTGACTCAATAAACCTCACTTCAAATGCTGCTTGCTCCCCTTGATTCTGACCCTCTTGTGGTCCCTTAAGAAATGGCCTCCCAGGGCTGGGGATGTGGCTCAAGCGGTAGCGCGCTCGCCTGGCATGCGTGCGGCCCGGGTTCGATCCTCAGCACCACATACAAACAAAGATGTTGTGTCCGCCAAAAATTAAAAAATAAATATTAAAAATTCTCTAAAAAAAGAAGAAAAGAAATGGCCTCCCAAACATCTTATTCCAGCTGAAACACTACTTCTGTCTTGGAGAGGCCACTTTATCTGGGCCCTTCACTCATGCTGCCATTTCCTTGTGTTATCCTGATCACACATTCCTGGGGCTCAGGGACTGCCCTAAGCTTCCTATATAAGGGGCCAGTGTTGGGTCTCCTGGTATTGGGCAGGAGGCAGTGACACCATTTTGGGATGGACACTTGTCTCAGAGGGCACAGTGCCTGGAATGTGGGGTCCCAGTTACTATGGCCACCTCCTTATCTTCTCTCACTGCCAGGTCCACCATATAGTGGCTTTCTTCATCCAGCATTGCCAACAACCTCATTACTAACTCTGGAGGAGTCTCCATTCTATCCTTGCTTCACATCTTGGCAGCACTAGATGGCCTCCCCTTCCTGGAAGCCCACTCCAGCTGTCTCTGTCTTCCTGTGTTGGAGGTATACTCCTCTGCCTCCTCTCTAGTTGAAATTTCTCAGCTGGGTGCAAAGGCACAGGCCTGTAATTCCAGGGACTAGGGAGGCCGAGACCAGAGGGATTGCAAGTTAGAGGCCTTCAGCAACTTAGTGATACTCTGCATCAAAATAAAAAGGGATAGGGAGTAGCTCAGTGGTAATGTGCCCTGAGTTCAATCCCCAGTACCAAAATCAACAAAAAGAAGTTCCTTGAATCTTCCCTTTTCATGCCAGTATCTCTGGAAAACCATTTCACCCATTCTAATAGCTTCTAGGATTTCCCGTCTATAGATAATTCCTGGGCAAAGCAGCATGTTCACATAGGCTTGAAGATCAGACCAGGCCTGGGTTCAAGTGGCTCCTCCACTTCCCAGTATTTGGTAGTCAGGTTAAGTTGAAATGAGCTATGAACTCTGCATAGTAAAGGCTTAGAACAGTTCAGTGATTGACCATCAAAGGGTATCTTCTTTGTTTCTCAGGTCCTGTCTTCTATCAGCACATATCCTGAGGTACCCCTTACTCCTTAGTCCCCATGTCCAACCCCATCTCCCCTGAGTTCCTGACTTCTATATGTCTGACCACCCAGCAGATGGTGCCCACAGTCTTTCAAGGCAACAACACAACATTGAGCCTTTCCCAGACTCCCCAGTTTTGTAACTGTCCCACAATCTCTCACAGGCTTGAGTGTGATGCCTAAGGGACCCTCCATTTAGAACCCTCAGTACACAGGTAGCCACTTGGCAAAACCCCCAACTATACCATCCAAATATATCAGGAACATTTCCTTCTCATCTCTGGCTGAAGGGAACCACCAACCACCATGCTCCAGCCTCTGGCACCCAGACCTGAGAAGCACTGGCATAAGGAACTCAACAACCATGTCAAGGTTTGTCTCTTTGCCTATAAAATGGGAACAATGAATCCTTAGCTAAAGTTTAAATATCTTTGAAAACATGCGGTATAGGGCACAGCAAGTTGCAAATCTCAGAAAACACTCTTGCTGTCTGAACCTCCCTCTAGCCCTCCTTCACTCCCACGAAGTAGTCCTGATCTTTCTGACACACAGATCCCCTGTAGTGGACAGTCGTTGTTTGCAGCTACCAATCAGGAAACCCGTTTAGCCCTCTTCCAGGAAGCCCATGTATACAGAGACCACATACACAGCTCCAGGGAGCTGGCCACCACCCTCCACCCTGGCCAAAATAATTGGATGCAAGACGCAGTCCTGACCAATAACAATAGCATTTATTTGTTGGGGACATCTGAGACAGAAGCTAATCTACAGAGAGAAGGTGCTCCTCACCAGCAGTGAACAAAGAGTTCCACCGAAGTTGCAGGCAGCCACCTTTTGATCCCCAGAGGTGCTGGCCTGGGATAAAGCAGATAGTGGAGGATGCATAGGGAGGCAGAGAGAAAGTAGATATCTGGTCAACTTCTTCCTCCACTGCCAGGACCCTGGACTTTTCAGTTTCCTAAGCCATTAAGTTTCCTTTATTGTTAAAACAATTATTGGAAACCAAAACCAGCCTAGCTAATAGAGTTCCTTTTGGATAAAAGTCTCACATGCACCTTTAGTGTGAATTTTCAAAATACATTCCCTGACTCAAAATAAATGAGAGTATTGTAAGTTTATCATGTAAGCTGGCAGACCACAGATATTCCTAAGCAGATACCTGCTATGTGATGTCTCCAGCTCTCAGGAAGGGCCAGAGGCCACTGTCTGTTCTTTGATCTCAGGCCTCTGTTCATCTTTCCAGTATGGGGATCCAGTGTTCACCCCATAAGGACCAGGCAGCAGGGCCTATGGCAGGGAAGGCAGGTCCAGCCTTGACCACATGGAGAATGGTGAAAGTGGAAGAACCAAATACATATGGCTGCCTTCCAATCTCTACCACCCCTGGGGGCCTCCTCCAAGGAGAAGGTAGGTACTTACATGACCTCTAGCACCATGCACAGTGCAGGATGAAAGAGGAACCACTGCTACTGAGTCCATACTTCTGGCCCTCTCCAGCACCCTGAGGTTTCTTCTCAGGCAATGAGGTGTGTGCAAAGTGTAAGCCCCTGTATACAGGTAGCATGGGAAGCATCGTCTTCATACTGTGGGCAAGCACTAGGTGCAGAGACTGAGATGGAGTCCGAGCTGTGACACTGTCTTGCTAAGTGACCTGTCTGCCCTATGGGCGAGAACTACTCATCTCCAGGAGGAGACAAGCAGACAGGGTGCCCCAGAGAAGAGCTGTGTCACCAAGGGCATGCCATCTCTGGCCCATGCTTGGCTATAGCTTCACTTTTGGCTTCGGTTTGTTTATTGAATAGAAGGTGGAAGATCATCGTAGGGACTCTCCACCCTGGGCTGGGGTAAGGAGGAAGGAAATTGGTTCAGGTCTGCACAGACTCAATGGTCAGGGACCAAAGTAGCACAGAAACTCGTTTCAAGTCATGCCACAGAGGTGGGGTGACTTTCTGACTCCCAGGTTCCTGCTTTTCCTTTATCAAGAGCACACTTGCTGCAGCAGCTGAGGAGGCCCAGGGCTGGTTGTCACTTGCCCTCCTGTGGAGATTTGTTTAGGGCTGGGCCACACTCCACAGAGGTCAGGTGACAAGACTGGGCAGCAGGGGCCAACTGCTTACCCTTTCAGGCTTGGGGGCACATCACTCAAGGGCTTATTCTCAGTGGGCTAAATGTGAAATGCTAAAGCCCATTCCTCCTTCTCACACTGAGGCACTTCTGTAAGCTGGCTGGACTCAGATTTGGGCTCTCCCATGTCATTGCTAGGTGCCTCCACCATACTGTCTCAGTTCTATTGCAGGGGTGGTAGAGAACCCTGGTCAAGTGCTTTGAGTAGTGCCTGGCACCTAGCAAGAGCCTGGTACATACCAGCCGCTATTATTATTGTTATTATGAGCCAAACTGCAACAGGAGAATACATTTAATGCAACATGCAGCTGTGGCCTAGCCTCGGGCTCCTTCCCATAATCCAAGAATGCTACTTGGAGAACCCCTTCTCCATAGCCTCAGTCACTTCAGGGTGCAGGAAGCGGCTGGCCAAGCGTTCGATGTCATCCAGTGTCAGGCGGCTCAGGGACCTGTCATAATCCTGAGGAGAGAAGGCCAAGAGGATTCAGGCAGTGCCAGTGGGGAGGGATATGCTGTGACAGTCAGGGGCTGGGACTAGCTGGGACTGGATGTCCCTTCTCACCCTCTGCAGTTGTTCTAATACCCTGCTAGCATCTGCTACACTGAAGTGGCGAGCCAGGACTTTGGAGATCAGCTGCCAGACAGGAGGAGATGCGGAGTCGGCCAGTCTCCGGGCGGCGCCTTCTTCAAGTAACACCTTCTCCAGAGGTTTAACCACTAGGTTGAGCTTGGAATTGGGCCCAATGCTGTAATCTGACAGTCGTTTCCCATCTGCCAAAAAGAGATTGGTGGGGTTCCTTATCCACAGCCGTGGAAGTGGCCCCGGAAATGATACCGCCTCAAGCAGTCAGAGCAGAGCGCTGTGGCATCTGGCTGTGGTGGATACAGATTCCCTCGGCGCGAGAGCCAGCGCCCAGATCCATCACGCTGCCGGAGTTAGCCTGTACACCCCATCCCCCGACTTCCTTGGGGGCTCCCTGGGTGTATCCACTCCCTGTTACCTGCTAGGGCCTTGCCCTTGAACAGCAGTCGCTGCTGGCGCACGGGGATGTTCAGCTTTTCGGAGACCAGCTGCTTCAGTGTGGACACCAGCTCGTCTTCCGGCACCTGACCGGGCCGAGGGTGGGAGGCAGGGATTGAGCCCGCGACCCCTGAGCGACAAAAGCCTCGCGTCCCCTCCAGAGGGCAATTCTCCCGGCCTCCCTGGTCCGGCCGCCCCGTTCCCGTCCTCGGGCCCTGCCCGTCCCTGTGCCAGAAGGCTGTGACTGCGCAAGCCGGGGAAGGTGGTTCGGGCCTGGTGACCCTACCTGTAGGCTGCACTCACGGCCCTGGAGCGCCTTCACCGTCAGCTGCATGGCGGCCGCGGAGGCGTCCACTAGGGCCAGCGCGCACCCCAACGGCCCCCAGTCGCGCGCTGCCGTCCCGGGCGCGCGCCGGAACCGCCCGCCGCCGGAAGCCGTGAGAGGGGCACGCCCGTGCGCCTTGCCCCCGCCCCTAGGTCCCGCCCCCGCCCCGCCCCTCGAAGAGGAGTTAGTTGCCGTGGGGCGCAGACTCGCAAAGACACTGGGACCTCCCAGGCTGACGGGTCCTCTCGCTGCCACTGTGCAGGGAGTTGGCGCGTCCACCCCGCCAGGACTGGGAGGAGGTACGAGCTGGGGCTTGGGAGAAGAAATGACCAGGAAATCCAGTCGCCTGTACCGGTGACCCAGCCCCCTCTAAATTCCCAGTCTGCTAGTGGGGCAGGTCAGTGCAACCCCAGATTGTGTCTCTCAGTAACACAACAGGCCCAGTCCTGCCAAGCTGACCATAGTGCCTTATGTTCTTCTGCCTCCTTTCTAGTCTGGCTGCAGAAACCCGACTGAGCTTGGGAGCACCTAGGGAAGCCATGCCTCTGCTTCCATCTGCCCACCCTTCATCCTAGAACCAAGAGGCCACCTCACTCAGTGAGGGGCTAAATGGCAAGGACTGATAGAGAAAGCCAGGGCAGGGGTCACCGTGCCACTCAAGCTCACCCTTACCCTGGCCCACACTTACCCACGTACACTTTTCCTTCCCCCACCTCCAGGTCCCAAAGGGCAAAGACTGGAAGGGACCCGAGCTTGCTTCTCTCTTTTATTGAAATATATTTTCTGGGCACTGCCCACCTACCTAACTCAGCATGGCCTCTTTGGCACTGAAAGCTGGAGAATAAAAAACCAGTAAAAAAAATAAGCTTGGATTTGTCTGAGTGCATAGTGCATGAGAACTAAAGGCCTTTGGTACACAAGAACTGTGGGGACAGGGGATGGAGTGTGGTGGTTGGGTGATAAAAGCTTGACCCAGGTGCCTCATGGAACTGGGAACAGGTTGCTATAGATAAAGTGGCCAATGACCAAGGCCAACATCTCCGAGGTACCACTCAGGGCCACAATGAAGGGGGCCTGGGAGGCATAGTCTGCTTGAAGGCGGCGAAGGGACAGCTGTAGCATGGCCAAAGCCAGTAGGCTGTTTTGCACCCCTACCTCAATGCTGACGGTCCGCCGCTGGGCCACTGGCAGCTTTAGGCACGTGGCCAGGCAGTAGCCCACCAAGAGGCCAACCAGGGGCACAGTGAGGCCCACCAGTACAATGGGTAGCCTGACTCCTGCCAGGATGAATACCCCCATGCGGTAAGCCAGGAAGAGGCCACCCAGGATGAGCACAAAGCTGAAGGGCTTGATGACCTGAAGCAGCAGCTGAGAGAACTTGGGGAGCTTGGACTTGATCACCACTCCTGCTGCAATAGGGATAGCAATGAATAGCAGGGTCCCCAGGATCTTGGAGATGGGCACATGGAGAGTTTCATGAATGCTGAGAAGATAGCTGTAGAGGGCTGAGGACAGTGGCAGGAAACCAGTGGCAGCTACAGTTGAGATGAAAGTCATGGAGATGGCCAGGGTGACGTCCCCTCCAAGAAGGAGGCTAAAGAGGTAGCTCCCCCCACCTCCAGGTGATGAGCAGGTAATGATGAGGCCCAAAGCCAGGGCCTTGGGCAGCATGAAGACTTTGGCCATCAGGAAAGCATACAAGGGCATGACCAGAAACTGGCCCAAGAGGCCCAGAAGCATGGGCTGGGGGCTCTGCAGGAGCCCCTTCAGAACCTCAAGTTCCACTTTACAACCAAATGAACACTTGTTGACAAAGATAAGAGGCAAGAGCATGTAGAGTATTGGGTTCTCCGAGAAGTGGACCAGGCTGGTGCTGAGGGTAGCAGGGGTGTCTTCAGTAGGTGACACCTTGATGCAGAAATCTCTCCGCTCCTCAATCAGCATGGGTGAGGCCTCATGAGATTCCACGAGCTGGATATGGAGTGGAGCCAGTCCAGCCAGACCTGAGTGGATGCTTACAACAAAGCCACCCCCACCACCCCAGGTTATGGCACTCACATTCTTGATGGTCAGCACCTCTGTGTCCAGGGATGTGACCTTCAGTGTGGGGCCAGGCCCTGTTCCATTTGCCTGGCCTGGGTATTGGCTTGAGATCACAATGATGCCCTCACTCTCCTCAGGAAACTCAAACTCCATCACAGAGCCATCTCCAATGCTCAAGTAACGACCCTCTGTCAATGGCACAGTGTGGCCCAGAGCAGTGCTGAGGTTGGTACTGGCCATCCCTTGGGCCCCCCATGGTAGGCTGATGAGCAGCAGGGCAGCTCTGAGCATGCCTAGGTGGCCTGTGCAACCACACTCCCCTCTCAGGCCAGGCCACTGCTGAGAGCTGCCCCTACCCCTCCTGAACATCATGGCTCTTCCAGAAGGTGTGCCCAGGTCTCCTGCAGCTTAGGAAAGCACCACGGCTGTTGGGTTGTCCTGAAAAGGGTCCATCAGTAGGTCCTGGTCTTGTGCTGCTTTCCTGATGGCAGGGCTCTCTCTGAGAAGGGAAGGGATACAGAGAGGTGGCTGGTGAAGGTGAGCAGATATAAGCCCAGGAGTATGGGTTTCTGGAAGTCCACTGCTGGAAGACTCAGCAGGACCCCTAATCCCAAGCTCAGGAATAGAAAGGCAATGCCTACTGCTTGTTGTTGAGCGCTATTTGGCTTTCCCCTCCTCCAGCACAGCTGCCTCAAGCTTCCCATTCCTCATACAGAGGTGCTACCTAGAGAGAGGAATTCCCATTCACCTGCTGATACCTGCTGATTTCCTTGGGTTTGTCCACCTCAGCGACCTTGCAGAGATGTCCTGATACCAAGAGATTCAGGACAGCCACTTCCAGTCCTGTCACCATTAGCCTGTTCAACACTGGTTTCAAGATGCAGATATAAGCTGGGTGCAGTGGCACACACCTGTAATCCCAGTGGCTCAGGAAGCTGAGGCAAGAGGATCCCAAGTTCAAAGCTAGCCTCAGCAACTTAATGAAACCCCATCTCAAAAAAAAAAAAAAAAAGCTGGGGATGTGGCTCACTGGTTAAGTGCCTCTGGGTTCAAAAAACATTGCAGATAAAGCAAGGCTTTTGTGATACCACAGTGAGGATGAAATCTTTGAAAACCACCTGGGGGGGGGGTGAAAAGGAGACAAGATGGATGAGAACAAAGGGGAATGATGGGAAACACTGGCTTGGTCCAGATCTGGGAGAGTAGGTTGGGGAATATGAGTGTCATTTGCCAGGCACAAAGTGGTGGTAAAGTGATGTGGGCAGTGGGTGACCACTGTACCAAAGGTCTGAGGGGCTGATATCTGCCACTGGCATGCAGTTGGAAAACTGTTGCTGTCGCTACCTGGTTTGCTGTACCTGCCCTATAGTAATGAGAGAGGGATCTTGGTAGGAAGCAGTTTCCCTGTTCCCAGGGAAGTTGCCAGAAGGGGTAGCAGGAATGGGTCATATAGAAGCACATGTCCACTGGGAGGGACTGGGAGGGACCTCTCCTTCTGTAAGAGCTCCCACTTCTCTGACAGTCCCAGAATTTGAGCTTCTAAAACTGCTGCATTACATATGATCTGCTGTGCTCAGAGTACTGGGCCTCCCCCAAAACTCCACCAGAGCCTGAAATTCCTAGTGGGACTTAAGTGTTTCCAGAGGGTGGGGTACTTCAGAGTGAAAGGAGGAGGTCTGCCTCCCTCCTGTTTTTAATTTGGGCAGTCACCCCAGTAGTATCACATCAACTGCTAGAACTGGGGCAACCAGGATGGGCACACGGTGTTTATAATTCACAGCAGTCCATTTCTTTGTGCCCTGTAGTGTCTCAGAGTCCACCACCTCTCTGGATCCTAGTTAGTCTTTGGCTCTGCCCCCACTCCTATCTGAAACTGAGGAGAGGGTAAGGTGGGAGTGGAGGGAGGTTCAGCAAAAGGTTTTTCCCTGGGAAAGTCTCCCCTCCCCCGCCATAGGATGACATGGCCCTTGCTGGCTTGGAGTTTAGGTCACTTACCCTGGAGGCCTTGGTCCAACCTTGTGTTTCACTGCTGGGGGTGCCAGGCAGGAAAACCAGCAAAGGGTAGGAGAAGTCAAGTGGAGGGAAAAATATGCAGGCACCAGGGTAATATAAACCATTTCAAAGCAATAGGCTAAGGGCCTTTCACCTCCCATCCCATCCTTTCAGCAGGGCTGGCCGCCTTGAGTCACTGCAAGAGGAGTTTGGCCCCAATCCACAGGGTTTCTGCTTGAGGGGCTGGAAGAGTTTGAACAGACGCACCCCAAGGCAGGGAAGGCAATGCCAGCCCTGATGCTTCTTCCACAGCGGTGGAGTGTTTGGGGGTGAGGGTAATCGGCAGTGCTGACCTGGGCTCCTCCCCACCTGTGAGTCTGGAAGTTGTCAGGTGAAGCACCAGCAGAGCTTGAGTGAAAACCGGGGGTGGAGACGGGCAGAAAGAAGGACGCACAACCCGCTGGGCACTCTCAGGTCAGGGGCCTTCACGTCACTTCTGGGCCCCGCCAGGCCTCGCCAATGTGCGGTGGCCTTTCCCTGCTGGGTCTGGGCAGGCCGGGGTGGCGCGTGGCTGATCGCGGAGCGCTGACGGGCCAGAGTCTGCCTCCCGCCTATCTTTACCCAGCCAAAGGCTCTCACCTTCCGCCGTAGCTGCAAAGCTCAACACCAGCGCCTGCCGGGGCGGCGGACGCCCGCGAGCTCAGCCCGCCAGGGCCCCGCCCCGCCCACCAAGGGCTCCGCCCCACCCCGCCCCACCAAGGCTCCGCCTGCGCGTCAGATCTCCGCCCTCCCTTAGCGGTGCGCTCACCTCTGGCGACCATAATAGGTTCCAACCGGATGTGACGTTTCTGAGAGCGACGAGCCGTCAAGGGAGCAGTGGACTGACTGCTTCCTGAGTCACACCTGATTGTAACCGGGCACAGTGAATTACGGCTTTCTGTGGTCATCGCCGCCGGTGTGACTCATTTTAGTACTACTAAGGTCCGGTGGCTTTACAGAAAAGGAATAAAAAGAGATGGGCATGGTGGCGCACGCCTCTGATCCTGGTGGCTCCGGAGGCTGAGGCAGGAGGATCATGAGTTCAAAGCCAGCCTCCGTAACTTAACAAGGCCTTGTCCCTCAATAAAATGTAAAAAGGGCTAGGGATGTGGCTCAGTGGTTAAGCACCCCTGGGTTCAATCTCCAGTGCTAGATAAAAAAAATGGGGCGGGGAGGTTGTATGTTTACAAACTTTGCTGGGACAACAAAAAATCAGTCTGCATTGTTCTAAAATTAACTTCTTTGGGCTGGGTGTGCATCACAGTGGTAGAGCGTTTGCCTAGTATGTATGAGGTCCTGGATTCCATCTCCAGTACCTCAAAAATAAATAAGTAAAAAATAATAAAACGAACTTTTGTCATGGCTGTGATGGAGGCAGTGGTGCCTAAAGTACTCGCTCCTTGGAGGTGCAAAGTGTTGTAGTACCTTTTTTTCAAATAAACATGATTTTAAATTCATTTGTGTGGAAATTTATTTTAAAATGTATTTGGGGTTAGAAGTGTAGCTCAGTGGTAGAACACTTGCTTAGCCTGTCAGGCTCAGTTTGGATTCCCAGCACTGTAAAAAAGAATGTTGTATAGTTTAATATGTGTTTATGACATATAAGCAAATGTTCAAATGTTGGGCATGCATGCTTAAAGGGCTTTGATATATAAACCATTAAAAACATTTGCAGCTGTAATTCCAGGCTGTTCTTTAGCCATAGAGAACCAATAAGTACACCACTTCTGTGCATGTACTTGGCATCCTGGAACATTCATACTATCCCTCTCAAATGGTACTGTGGTGGCGGTGGGGGGTAGATTCCTGACAGAAGCAGGTGGTACTTGGAGCTAGGATACGTGAGATGGCTAGGCTGGAACAAGGATATCTAGTTCCAAAAGAGAATGCTGGGAGCCATTAGCCAAGTAGGTATGACAATTTCCTTGCCAGCGTACTCCATGTTGCAGTGACATTGAATGTAGGTGACCTTGCTCAAGGACCAAGGCGGATTAGGGTGTTCCCGGTTTAAGATAATCATGTTTAGGGCGTTCCCAGTTTAGGTTCCAGGTTTAAGATTATTCCTGCTGGGAATAGGGCGTATCCTGCTGCCTGAGTTCCCCTTGAGTTCTCACGGGATTCAGACAGTATATTTTGGAGATAGAAGCCCAGTGGAGTGGATTTGGGCAGAGAACGTGGATTTCCCCAGAACGTGATTGTAGACGGCTGGTGTGAGTTCGGGAATAAAGAGTTGCTGTTTGAATCTACAAGCTGTGTGGTGGCTTGTGATTGTGTGCCCAGCCAGACTGCGGCATTTGTGCCCAGCCAGACTGTGGCAAGAGAAGTCATCTGGACTGAGAGACCGCTATAACAAATGATAGCAACGACCAGAACAAAATGAATGTACTTAAGATGGGAGATCCACCACTGTATTGTATTAAAGGGCCACAGTGCTGACTCTGAGAGGCAAGCTTAGCTCCTACTCTCCAGGTAGGGGCCTCCAGAAATATTTTGTGATAAGTAAGCATGCATAGAGGGCATATACAAGCATATGTACAAGTATATGACACAGGGATGTATGGTGACAGCTGTTGTTTTTGCCTATCTAGCATAAAGTTATAGAACTTATGTTTTCTCTGAAAGAACCATCCATTCTCCGCTTTCAGTTCAGTACACATGGTTTCAATGTGATAATCCCAACACTGGCTCCTGGGGCAGGCACATGCCCAGATGTAGCCAGTTAAAACCACTCATTTTTTTTGGCAGAATAAGCCCATAATCCAATCTAGACTAAGGAGTTAGTCCCTAGGTACTTGTACTGAAACTACTGGGAAGGTGGGAGGTCTTGTTTGCTGGTGTTACTACACTGGCACCTTTACTATTTCCCTCCCTCCCACTACCTGGGAAGACAGCATATTGGAAAAATGAAGCAAATACAGAAAAGCAGAGCCAAGGAATGGAAAGAACCCATGTCCTAGTGACATTATTGGAGCTAGAAGCACCCAAGGGTTTTGGGGCCCATTAAAGGAACAATAAATACCATCCTTCTTTTTTTTCATACATCAGTTTCAGTTTGGATTCTGGCACTTGTAACTGAAGATGTCTGAACTGCTAAAGGGTTGACCTTGGGTAGGAGGAGCATGATATCCTGGCAAAAGATTGCAGGAAACTCATCCAGACTCTGTTCCCCACCATCAGCTTCCTGGCCCATGTTGGGCCAACTGGGGAATAAAGCGGGCCTGCTGTTTACATCTGTTACATGGGCAACACCCCACTGGGGCACAGCCTCAAGGAAGAAGGAACTATCACTCTGGCTCTCTCATGTGTTCCTATTCTGCAGCACAGTGGTTGGTCCTACACAGGCACTTCATGAATGTTTGGTGAACAAATGGACAAATGGAGGAAAATTGGACAATCACAGCACATTGGGAGGCATAGTGAGGTCTGTACACTTCCCAGCCTTACACTGAGTACCCTCAGTGAGGTTCCGTTTCATCTTGGGCAAGCTACTAACCTGTGGAATTGTATACACCTAGCTTCTAACCTCTAGGCTCCATTGTAACTCTTTAAGCTCACAGGGTCCTTTACTTTTTTCTGTACAGTGAGGATAATGGCCAAATTTTGTAGGGTTTGCTTCAACATATAGGGAGTACAGGTGTGCAGATGAGACATTAGCCATGTATTGATTACTATAGAAGCCTGGTAAAGGGTACATTGGAGTTGATCATATTATTCTCTCTACTTTTGGAGATGTTTGAAATTTTCCATAGTAAGATATTTAAGAAATGAGCCAGGCATGGTGGACATGGCTGTAATCCCAGTGACTTGGGAGGCTGAGGCAGTAGGATTGCAAGTTGTTACAGGCCAGCTGCAGTGATTTAGCAAGACTCTGTCTCAGATTAAAGATAAAAGGGCTAGGATGTAGCTCAGTAGTAAAGCACCCCTGAGTTCAATCCCCAGACTGCAAATTTTTTTTCTAGAAATAAATACACCTTTGATACTGTAGTGGTGGGTACATGTCATTACACAATTTTGTCAAAACTCAGAATGTACAATGCCAAGAGTGGACCCTAATGTAAACCAATGTAGATTCATTGATTTTTAACAAATGGAGGATGGGGGGAGACACTATATTTTTTGCTTAGTTTTGCTGTGAACATAAAATAGCTCTAAAATGTTTCCTAGAAAAAGGGAATACACTATTATGAGCTTGGCATAGGCTCAGGGCTGGGCATTGGCTGCTACGAACATCATCTACATGCAGGCTGAGCCGTCCTCATTTCTCTGGTTTGATCTTTGCAGTTCTGGCATAAAAACTACTTTCTTCCTGGTGGGCCTTTTTTTCCTGGGCACTCCCATGCCTCTAACTTGATATCTATCTGCCCTTGACTTTCATTCTGAAGGTTTGCTTTGCACTCAGTACTTTCCCTGGGTCTGGAAGCACTTAATGCCTAGGAGTTGAAGGCTCAGAAAGCCTGTCTGCACAGCAGGATCCTAAGTCCATCACCCCCTAACACAGATACTTCAAGAATGCCTGACTGTCTTCTCAAATTACCACAATGTCCTGATTCCTCCCATCTGGGAAGTCCAAGCCACCCTTTCTTGTTGTTTGGAACTCAGAGTGCTTTTACACCCCTTATTTGGTATGTCAGCACCTTGACTGGTTTTAGTTATTTTACTTGTCCCTACAGGTGCATTGTGGGTGGGAAGAAGTTGGTGAGTTTCCTTGGGTCCCAGAAGACAGAACCATGTCTCCAGTTAAGGCTATGGGTGACACCAACTGGGGAAGTACTCTGCTTACCACTTGAGTCACATCTTAGCCACTGGGGGGGGGGGGAGGCTGTCAATGGCAGGGGCCCTATAGAGAAAGGCTGTCTACTAAGGCTGTGGGGACAGGTTGGCTGAGTCTCTAGGACTTATCCCCTCCATGCACATAATACCACCCCTGACTCTCCACTGAGGACAACATCTGAATGCATTTCATTCCATTGGGGGCCATCAATTTATTAAGAGGTCATCTAGAAGGTGGGCCCTCTGACAAACCGCATACTGCCATGTACTGCATTAGGGGCTGTGACCAGGCTCTGGCTACCTCACTATCGAAGGCCAGTCTGCTCTAAGGGCCCCTCTCCTGCTGAGAGAGAGGTTAGAGGCAGGCAGGCATGTGAAAGTGCTTACTAGTTTTGGCTCACTGAAAGCAATCACACTGTAAGCAAGTTTGGACCACAATATAGTGAGTGTGTCTGGAAGGGAGAGGTTCTGGAAGATGCCCCAACCTGCCAAGTAGCTACTACAGTGAGAAGAATGGGCACCTAGAGCCTTTGCAGCCAGGGGCACTTGGGAATTGGGAAGGAGATGACATGAGTGGAAGAAAGGGCAAAGTGGGGGCTGACTGGGACCAGCTTTAGGAAAAGGAGATGGGTACCTGGGCTCCTATGACAAAGTATGATGGGCCAGCTCCACAGTCCCCATCATCTTGGGGTCACTGCCTCAGAGCCCTGATGTGTTGGGGCTGGGGAGCCTCCTGCCTGGGCATGGGGCAAGACCTCGACTCTGTGTTGGCACCATGCAGACTCCCTCGGCCTGGTCCTGGTGATTGGCTGTGCTAGCTGGCCACACTTCTCCGCGGGATGCAGCCTTCCATCTCCAGCGCCTCAGGCCAGCCCTCATACTTGTTGGTGTGCTTACTGTTCTTCACATGCTGTGAGATGGAGGGAGCAAGAAGTCATGGTCTGGCCCTTAGGGACAGGGGACAGAAGTGGGCCAGGACTCTGGCCTTTGTGTTGTAGACCACCTGTGTGCTCTCCAGGCACTGGTTCCCTCCCTCTGCCCCAGGAAAAAATGACAACAGCTGTAATGACCTATTCCCTTGCAGGCAGGCAGCTTGGGGGTGAATTTCTGTGTACTTATATGGGCTTGGAGGGGAGATAATACGTGTGTACCCCACCATAAGGAGTTTTCAGAAGCTGTACTGAGAACAAGGCCATGGGGACATTTTTTTCCCCTTGGGGAAGGGGGCAGCTTGAGCTATCTTTTTGTTAGCCAGAGCCTTCTAGAAATTTGTGTCATAAAGATGACACAAATAAAGATCAGACCTTGGGGCTGGGGCTATAACTCAGTGGTAGAGCACTTGCCTATCATGTGTGAGAGTGCACTGAGTTTGATCCTCAGCACCACATAAAAATAAATAAAACAAACAAGGGTGTTCTGTCCATCTACAACTAAAAAAATATTTAAAAAAGAGCATATTTGGGGATGCTGTGGCTTTTTCTGGACTGAGAACCTCCCACAGATGAGGATGGTGACTGGGGCTCCTTCTCACCCAGCCCCAGCACAGGGCCTGACATGTGGACTCAGGAGGGCAGCAAGGGTGTATGGTGTGGATTGGGGATATTGGGTTTTGAGAGAATTAAGACAGTACTGAGCATCATGAAGGTGTTGGGAGGATGGTTTCTTAGCTATGAGTCTTGCCACTGTGCAAACTTTGCCATTTAAAGACCCTTTAGGGTGCAATGCACATAGGATAGGGAAGGTCAAAGTTACTGCTCCTCCTTGTTCAGTAGGCAAATGGGCCAGGACCACCCAGGGACAGATGGGGGACAGGGCTATTGTCTGTTTGCTTAGGGCCTAGCTGGAAAAAATTCAGGGTAGGCTGTGGTGTGAAGAGATGGGGTGGCCAGGCTTCCAGGGCTAGGAGGCAGAGGTGCTGAGTTCTCTGCTGTACCTGCTCAAAAGGGCTCTTGTTCTGCACACCCTTGGCCCCCACAAACACCCAGCTGTCGCGGAAAGCTAGCTCCTTGGCATTCCTGCTGCCCAGCTCACTGAAAAGCTTCCTGGTCTCTTCATTCATCCTAGCACACAGAAGAAGAAATGTGAGTTGTGAGCTGTCATTGTAGAGGGACAAGACTGAGATTGACCATGACACTCACTTACTTGGTGGCTGGGTCGTCATAGGATGCCACAAACACCAAGGTACCTTCATGTAGTGGCCGAATGAACTTCAACAGATCATTGACATCTGGAGGGTGGCAGAAGGCAGGACCCACTGAGCACCCCTTCTCCCACCAATCCTTGTTCTCTAACTGATAAAACCCAAGTAGGGATTGGCCCCTGGATGTGCCAATGTACAAAGGTATAGGGACAAATTGGTAAGGAAGCTGGGAACATCCTATTACAAAAAACATAGCCTCTGGACAGAGGTAATGATCTTTCCCCTCCTGCTGCCTTTTGGGAACCCAGGCAAGTGCTTGAAAAGCCCAAGCACATGGACACAGGGGAAACTCACCCAGTCATTTTTTTGTCAGTGAAGAAGTAGGAATCTTTGACAGCCACTCACCTCCAGCCCACATGTCGAAGGCACGGGCCTCAATGAGCTCACCGCTGACCCCTGCGTTGAGAGGAGGAAGGGAGTCTTCCTGGGTGAGCTGCCAGAGTCACTCCACTCTACCACCTTGGCCCTCAAAACACACTCAGAACACATTGGATGGGGAGGTGGCAACTGGGATTAGCCTTTCTGGAAGTTTTTCAAACATTCTCCTATTTATCCCCTTGTTGATAGTTGTAGCTCACTCAGAATTGTAGAGCCTCTGCCTGGCATTTGAGGCCCTCCAGGGGCTCCCATGAAGTGCCCTTCAAGTCCCTGGACCCTTCTAGTTCTTCAATGCTATCATGCTTTGGTTCATTGAGTCACACAGACCCCTTCCCAGACCTCCCTGAGAGTGCCTAGAGGGAAGGGTCAGGGAAAACACTTAGAAACCGCCTAGGGAGGAAATGCACAGGGTGCAGGTCATGGCATGGCTTCTACCTCTTTGGTCTCAACTCTGACCCCAGAGCATGGGGAACTCACCATTCACCAGGGCAATGTTCAGCCCACGGCCCACGTTGTCCTTGACACTGCTCATGAGCCTAAAGGGATGGAAGACTTCCAGTGGGCACATCTGCTCCATTCTTCCTTGCACAGCCCTCAGCCCTTGTGGAGCCAGTCTCAATTCCACCAGCCCACTTCCCAAACCCCATGTATCCCAAGGAGCTCACATCTTGTCCTCGAGGCAGATCTTGGGTCCGATGACATTGGCAGCCCCACTGACCATGCGGAAGGCTAGGTGCTCCTCAGGACATGGCTGGGGCAGGCCACACTTGTACTTCCTGGCCCGTGGTTCTGAGCAGGGACAGCAGGTATGACCCATGGGCCTGGCCCTGGTGTCACCTAAGATCTGAGTGGGGAGGTCAGGACCAGCCATAGGGTCGAATAAGTGACCATATAGCAGGGAACTCAGTGGGGGTCATGGCTCAGGCTAAGGCCAGGGACACTTCATGGAAACTCTGTGTTCTGCTGGCAAGGTGACAGGGACTCAAGGAGGCTTTTCTGCGCTACTGGTGGGAGAAAAGAAAGGAGGTCAAGAGCCCTTACACAGCCGGGAACAAAGCATGGAGAAAGTTAGGTTGGGGACCCAAATATATACACAGGGTACACAGCTAGACCAAAGTGGTAGAACTACAGCAGGTGAGGAAAGCATAGGGATCTGCTAGTTTGATTTCCATAGGGTGACGATGGGTGGACAGCCTGTTATGGGTTGAGCTGTGTTCCCACACAAGACAAGTTGAAGCCCTGACTCCAAGTATCTCAGAATGTGGCCTTGTTTGGAAATAAGGTCTTTATAGATAAATTAGTTAAGATGAGATCATACTGGAGTAGGTTGAGTCCTGAATGCCTTGTTGATAACTTGATTTCAGAGTTTTGGCTTCCAGAACTGTAAGAAAATACATTTCTGTTGTTTAAGCCACCAACTTTGTGATACTTTGTTATGGCAGCCCCAGGGAATTGATGTAGATTTTGGTACCAGGAAGGAGGGTGCTTATGTGGCAAATACCTAAACATGTGGAAATGGCTTTGGAGCTGGGTGGTGGGTATATGATGTAGAATTTTGAGGTGCATGGTAGAAAGGGCTTAGATTGCCTTTAAAAGATTGTTGGTAGAAATATGGACCATAAGCTGTGGGTGGTGTTACATGTCTGTAATCCCAGAGACTCAGGAGATTGAGGCAGAAGAAGCACAAGTTTGAGGCTAGCCTCAGCAATTCAGCAAGGTTCTAAGTAACTTAGCAAGACCCTGTCTCAAAATAAAAAAATAAAAAAGGCTGAGGATGTAGCTTAGTGGTAAAGTGCCCTGTTTTAAATCTCATCCCCCCAAAAAAAGAAAATGGATTATAAAGATGATTCTGATGAAGGCTCAAAAAGACAAGAGAGCTACAGAGAAAGTTTCTATTGTCTTAGAGAATGTATATGTTATCACAAACAAAATATTGTTGGAACTATGAACATTAAAGGTACTTTTGGCCTGGGCATGGTGGTGCACGCCTATAATCTCAGCTATTGTGGAGGTTGCAATATGAGCATCATATGTTCTAGGCCAGCCTGGGAAACTTAGAGAGACCCTGTCTCAAAATTTAAGGACTGGGGTTGTGGCTCAGAAATACAGTGCTCGCCTAGCACATGCGAGGTGCTGGGTTTGATCCGCAGCACCACATAAAAATAAATAAATAAAATAAAGGTATTGGGTCTAATCAGAACAAATAAATAAATAAATAAAATAAAACTTAAAAAAGAGCTGGGGATGTGGCTTAGTGGTAGAATGTTTGCCTAGCATGTGTGAGGCCCTGGGTTCAATCCCCAGCTCTAAAATTAAAAAAAAAAATGTGCTTTTGGTGAAATCTCAGAGGGAAATAAGGAACATATCACTAAGCATTAGAGGAAAGGCCATCCTTCTCATAAAGTGGCAAAGAACTTGGCTGTCTTGTGGTCTAGTGTCTTGTGGAAACGAGAACTTAAGTGTTGAACTTGGATATTTAGCTGAAGTGATTTCTAACAAAGTTGAAGGTGTGGCTTACAGTGAAGTGTGAGAGCAGAGAGAGAAACTGAGGAAAGAATTGTAAACCATGAAGGAACCAGAATATAAAGATTTGGGATATCAGCCTAATCATATTGCAAAATGAGAAAGCATCCTCTAGAGAGAATACTAAGGGTGTGTGTGTGGCTGGCCAAGCATTTGCTTAAGAGATGAGGTGGGCAGCCTGTGGGTACACTCCATCCTTTCAGAAATCTGGACTTGAAATGTGGTTATCTAGGTAGGATCTGTGGAGAACTCTCATCTTATAACTTGGACCCTTATGAATTGTACAAGAGACCAAAAATGGTTTTGTTAGTATTTTATACCAGCAGAAATACTGACAGTCTGAACTGAAAGGGACAGGTGATTCTGAAGACAGACCTGGGGATGCAGAGGCCAGAGAGGGTACAGAACCAGACAGTGAGAACATGTCTTGTTCCAGAGGAGAGGGTCACCCCAGCAGGCCCAGAGAGTAGAGCATCAGACCATAGAGAATTCTTAGGCCTTGAAACCTTGCCTGCTGGGTTTGGGGGTCTTCTTGGGATCAGTGATTCTTTTTTTTTTTTCCTCAAAATTATTCTTTTTGGAATAGGAATGTTTACTGTAAACCTGTCCCACCACTGCTTTCTAGCAGCAGGTAAGTTGTTTACTAGGTTCACAGCACAGCTGGCTGTGATAGCTAGTTTGGGGAGGGAGCGATGGAGAGCAGAAATACTGGGGGACTAGGGGAAGCAGGGGTGTTACAAAGGCAGTGTGAGGGGCAGGAAGAGGGGAGAAGCTGAGAGGTAACAGGAACCTTACCTGCAGTCACAGAGCTTTCTGGGCCTGTGGGTACAGAGAATTGTTTTTGTTAGCATGGAGGCCTCCAAGGGCCTACAGCAGGGCAGTGAGGCTCAGGGGCAAGGGACTACGCCAGGTTGCCCTTGGCATGCTCTCTGCTTATGCCTAAGTGATATTCATATGCAAAACTTAACACCATTTCTGCTCCAGAAAGAGGGTGAACTGGAATTGTAAAGAATGGCCAGGTGATGTTATCACCAGTCACCTTCCCCATCTCAGAGCCCAGCAGACAGCCTGTAGGCATCAACCAGGGTGTCATTCCCAACTTTTAGTGGAAGCTTTCTCATCCCTTACTCTGAATTTACTAACTCCACTGGACACATGGCTATAATTAGTGGGTGTTGCTTTTCTAGCTGAAGCAGCCAGAGGCACCCTGCAGGGGAGGGGGTGGAGAACCCAAGTTGCCTGCATCCCACCCTGGGCATCTGTCCCAAGACCAGGAGGCCACCCTGGGGACCTCTGCAGCGAAGCAAGGGAGGGTCCCACACTCACTGTTGAAGAGTTGCTGGATGCGAGGAAATCCACTGCCAGGCCCACCCAGGAGGATGCTGACTATGATCCAGGTAAGACCCACAGTGACAACTAGGGCCACGATGCGGAGCGGGCCTGCAGGCAGGACAGACACGGGGCAGGCCTACCTCAGATGCTGGTGACCTCTGGAACCATCCCATGACCCCTCATGATGAGATCTCCCCTTCTGCTTGGGAAGAAGTGACCAGAGGATGGGGGGTTGGGAACTGACCCCATCCAGCAGGCCCAAGAGGGAAACTCAAATTCCCTGGCAGGTGGACGGACGAAACTGACTTCAAACTTCCAGGCTTCCCTGGAAAGGTTTCCTTGGAAGGTTTGAAGGGGCTTTTCAGAATTCAAGTGTTCCAGAGGACTCCAAGGATTCTCTTCTAGGACCTTCCTCAGCTTCCTGCCTTTGAGACCACCAATGGATACCTTTGAGACGACCAAGGCCACCCCTTTTCTTGTTCGCGGGTGTGGGTGTGTGTGTGTGTGTGTGTGTGTGTGTATGAGAGAGATGCTGAGGATCAAACCCAGAGATTGTACATGCTAGGCCAGAGCTGTGCCACTGAGCCACATGTCTAGCCTCTTTCCTCCTATTCTGATGGAGGGTCCTTATGCCTTTTGACGACCAGTCCCTTCACTAGCTGCAAACTGGATCCTTGTTTCCCTTCCCTTCTCAGATTTCTTGTAATAGGGATCTTTATCCTCACCCTCCCACATTTCAATATTGCTAATTTTAAGACTGAAAGAAGAAAAAGCTCTCCTTCAAAACCCCATCCTCATGCTATTTACCCTTGCCTTCCTTTTCTCCATCAAACTTTACTTAGGTTTTTTTTTTTTTTTAATGTGGTGCTGGGGATCACACTCAGTGCATCACATGTGATAGGCAAGTGCTGTACCACTGAGCCACAACCTCAGCCCTCCCCATCAAACTAAGTCAACTGTAGGAGCTGGGGATGTAGCACAGTTGTAGATTGCTTACCTAACATGTGTGAGGCCCTAGGTTCAATCACAGTCCCCCCACCCAAAAGTCAACTACAGTCTGCCTTTCCATCATCTTACTTCCCACACTCTCCACAGCCTGCTCCAATTTGGCCTTGCACCATCCCAACCAAATATCTGGTAGCCAAGGCCACCCATAAATAACTGTCATGATGTCATGCCCCCAGTCATCTATTGGCTTTGATCTTCCTTGACCTGTTAGTGGACTACTCATGCCCTCCTGATGAAAACAATTCCCTGCTGGCTTCCAGGAAAGCAGTCTCCTGACCTATATGCTGCTTTTTCTCCTTGGTTAGATGATCTTCCTCTACCTCCCCTTAAGCTGGACAGAAGGGCTGAGTGGTAGACTGCTGGTGTAGAATGGATGAGGCCCTGATCCAGGTAAGACCCACAGTGACAAGTAGGTCACTGAGAAAGGGGGAGGGTGGAGAAAACTGGACAGAGGCAGCCTTCTGTACCAGGCTGCCTTCTTATCTGTATCTGTATTTTCTTTTTTGGTGATTTTATCTACAGCCAGGTGTTGAATTAACAATATGTAATGATGACTTCTTGTTGTCTACCTCCAACCCTGAGCTCTGTTGTATCTCCACCCTCCCAGTCCCTTCCTCACTACCCAGATCCAGTTGGTAAGTACATCAAGCTGTGACCTTAGCAGATCTGAACTCCAGTTCTTAGTTTCCACTTTCCATCTTATCCCAGCCTGTCCTTCCATAAGGCATCTTTATCTTAGTTGTGCAGCTGATACCAGAGCTGTCATTTGGGTTCATATCCAACCGTACAGGCAGCTTTGTCAGTTTTTGTTTAAGAGTAGACCTCTCCATCGGTACGCTGCACCCATCTGCACCCCGCTGCCATGCTCTCTGGAGCCTCTGTCACAACTCATTTCCCAAAAAGCAGTCGGCTTGTTATCTGAGTTGGGTGAAATTTATATAATCCTTTATCTTATAGTTTGGGAAGCTGAAGTCCTCAGGTGAGGATTTTTCTCAAGGTTACCGAATAAGTGTTCGTTCACAGTCCTCCATTTTCTCAACCAACCCCAGTGGTTCACCCGGACCCTTCCTGACACAGATGTCGGGACACCTGGGCCTTCCTCCCGTTCGCCGTGGAAGCCACCCACCTGCCAACCTCATGTCCACTTCTCCCGCTGGGTTGGGACCGCCGGCAGGTGCACTGTTTGGGGACAGTGCGCTCTGGGGGGAACAAAGGAGAAGAGCAGGTTTGGGCAGGGGCCAGGGGCAAGTCTGTCCCGGGCCTCTGCTGGGGGGCAACACAATCGGTGTTATGTTGTTTCTCAAACCAGTCCTGAACGTGTCCAGGAGGGGCATCGGGAACCCGCTGGCAAACAGAAGCCTCCGGGACTGGGGCGCAGAAGTGGGTGTCTCGGACTCAGGTCACTCCCGAGAGAAACTCGGGGCTAAGGCCATTCCTCCCGAGGCTGAGACGGAGACCGGGCTGGCCGGGGACTTGCCTGGCCGTGGGAAGACGTGGGCCCGGTCAGGGAATGCCCCGTTGGGCCGGTGCCCGGCTCTACTCGGGGAGGAGAAGAAGCTGCGCAGAGGAACCCGGCAGGCCTGGCAATGGCGGCCGGGGGAGGGGCCAGAGCTCGCAGGCACCGCCCGCCAGGGGCCGTGCCACGGGGGAGCCACAGCCCCGCGCAAGCTCCACCTCCAAAGCCGCCAAGTGGGAGGAACTGGTATCTACCCCGCCCCCTCTATGCTGACAGCCTCAAGGAACAAACAGAGGGGAGCGCTAGCGCACCAACTCAGAAAGGTCTACTCCTCCAGCCTGAACTCTCTGTCCTCAACTGCGCCCCGATCATTACCGCACTGGGAGGGCTGCGAGTACTCTGTCAGCTGTTCCCATATGTCTGGAAGACAGCAGCTGGGCAGAATCAAAACAATATCCCTAACCTTTGACCCGGTGGTCAAACTTAAGGACCTCCTTCCTTAGGAAATAATCCAAAATACAATTTATAGAACCAGGCATGACACTACTCTGGTTAGAATCCAGTAGATTCTAGTTTGACATACACAACACACTCTCATACACACTTCTCGCAAACATGATCAAAGTGATCTATTTTAGCAGTCAGTCTTCTGTGATGGTCCTGGATTTGTATTTGGGTTTTGTCACCAAATTTGGTGGCCTCTCATATTTCTCTGGTACCAAACATTGGGCCTTATGGTATCCTCAGTGGGGCCCAGTACAAGTAGCTGTCAGTTATGTACATCCCTGAACCAACAACAAGGCCCAAGTTCCTAGATAATAGTGTTTATACCTTGCCTGCAGCACACAAGGAAAAGTTGATTTAATGAGTCCTCTGAGGGTCCAGACACAACTCCCCCCTTCCATAGAGACACCACACAAGTGATATGCATTGAAGGACAGCCTGCAGGAGTCCCTTATTTTCTCTGGGACTTCTTTTTGGTGTTAGGGATTAAACCGAGGACCTATATAAGTTGCTAAGCATATACTCTACCACAGAGCAGCAACCCAAACCCTGGGACTGTTTCCTGATATGCATACAGAAAGAGGTTACACTTGAACCCCACAGCTCTTCACCCTATCCACCCTGCTTGGTGCTGACCATTGTGCTACATAGAACACATATGCCCTGTCCATATTCCAGCTTTTCCTGTTGGGACTCTTCAATCCCCATGAAGGTTGACAGACTGAGGGACACTGTCATTTATCATTCAAAGTCAGCATTTGGCTCAAGACAGTTCCAACAGTTCTTAAATAGCACACAACACAAAATGGGAGTGGGAAGGCTGTGACAGGTGTCTCTAGACCTGTTAGGTGTTCTTTTCACAATTTTATGCAGAAGAAAAAAAGTATGCAAACAATTGAATAAAGTTTTGGGGATACCTGCTTAGGAGAACATAAAATGGATATAAACTTAAAGAGAAATGGCTGAAGCCTCCACCAAAGAGAGCAGAGACTGAGTCCTCAACAAACAGAATTTTTTTCAGTTGTTGGCCAATAGGATGTCAGCAATTCTGAGGCTTGGGAAGAGGAGAATGTCATTGAGGGTACAATTAGAAAAAAGGAAGTTTGGACTGACAAATACCATAGGATAATAAGTGTACAGAAGCATAAAATAATACTATATATATTTGTATTGGAATTAAATATATATAACATAACATTTGACAATTTAAATATTCAATTATACTTTTTGTTGTTAGTGCTGGGGACCAAGCCTTCTGTATGCTAAGCATATGCTGTATACCACTGGGCTATACCCCCATACCTTAGTTATTTTATTCTTTATTTTTGGGTACTGGGGATTGAATCCAGTGGTACTCTACCATTGAGGTACATCCCCACCTCTTTATGTTTTACTTTGAGATAGGGCCTCCCAAGCCTTGCCCAGGCTGGCCTCCAATTTGTGAATTGCCTACCTCAGCCTCCCCAATCACTGGGATTACAGGCATGCACCACTGTGAACAACTGTAATGTCCTAATTCTTTATTTTTTTCATTTTGAAGTAATTATACACTTATAGAAGTTGCAAAAACGGTGCTATTGTAGCTCCAGCTTTCCTCAGTGGTGATATATATATAGCTGTAGTACAGTATCACAACCAGGAAAAACACATTGGCACATTACTGTTGACTAGAAAATAGACTTTTTTTTTTTTAAATACTACTGAGGATTGAATCAAGAGCATTCTTCCACTAAACTACATCTCCAGCCCTTTTTTTAAAGTTATACATGTACACAATATCTTTATTTTGTTTATTTATTTTTATGTGGTGCTGAAGATCAAACCCAGGGCCTCACACATGCGAGGCAAGTGCTCTACTGCTGAGCCACAACCCCAGCCCTCCAGCCCTTTTATTTCTCCTCCTCCCCATCTTCATTTTTGGTACTACGGATTGACTGGGTCTTACTAAGTTGCTAGGGTCTCCCTCAGTTGCTGAGGCTGGCCTTGAACTTGTGATCCTCCTACCTCAGTGTAGGAGGGATCATTGGTGTGCATCACCATGTCCAGCTAATTATTATTACTTTGGGGTACTGGGATTGAACTCAGGGACACTTTACACTGAGCCAAATCCCCAGTCCTATCTTTTATTTTATGTTGAGATAGGGTCTTTTTCTAAAAAAAAATTTTATAACTTTATTTTATTTGTTTTTTTTAATGTGGTGCTCAGGATCAAACCCTGTGTGCCTCAGCTGTGCTAGGCAAGGGCTCTACCATTGAGCCCCAGCCCCAGCCCCAGGGATGGGGTCTTTGTAACATGCTGAGGCTGGCCTCGAGTTTGTAACCCTCCTGCTTCAGCCTCCCAAACTGCAGGAATTACAGCTGTGCACTACTGTACATAGCACAGTAGACTGCTTGTCCAGCATGTGCAAAGGCACTGGGTTAAAGTCCCAGCCCTGCAAAAAACAAAAACATTGGAAACGGATTTAAGTCTGTGTTCTAAGACTGGTTCACTGATGTACACCTGCAATCTCATTTATTTGGGTAGCTGAAGCAGGAGAATCACAAGTTTGAGATCAACCTGCACAATTTAATGAGACCTTGTCTCAAACTTTAAAAATAAAAGAGGTGGGGATATAGTTCAGTGGAAAAGCCCTCAATCTCCAGTGCTTTTCCACTGAGCTATATCCCCATCTCCAAAATAATAGTAATAATATAATAATAATAATAATAATAATAATAATAATAATAGTAGTAGTAGTAGTATTTGTAGGAATAATTTGAGGTCTAAGGAGGAAGGACTATTTCTCCCAAGATGGTTCACTTGCTTCTGCCAGGCCCCAGGGGTCCTGTTCATCTAAGACCCCCCTTAAATCAAGTGAAAGGTTCAAGGTTCTCTGGACACCCCAGGCAGTTTGAGCCCTGGTTCTGTTGCAGTTCTGGGCTTAGTCTCACCCTGACAGTGTAGCCATTTGGGCCCTCAGGATTTGATATTTTTCATGATTCGGTTGCTGACCCCTTACTTTATAAGGCTATCAAGGAAAAGTTTATGGGCAAATGCCTCAGGGCAAAGGTAAGTGTGTGGGGGGCGCTAATTTATATCACTGAGTTCTAGTTTTCTCTGAACATTTGGCCTTGTAAATTCCTTCCTTATGGAAAGCCAGAATGTAGTTAGCTCCTTGTTTCTGCAAAGATTCCTTGAAGCATTGAAGTGAAGCAAAGGGTGAAGCTCTAGGAGGCAAGAGACCTGTATCAGGGCCTCCTCTCTGGTCCTGGGATGTGGCTCTGGGCTAGTCTGATCAAGTCTCAGAGCTTTGGTTTCTGAGTTTCTCCTTTTGTTGTATAAGAAAGATGATCTCTTCTGGATATTTGAACTTAGTGAACTTGGAGGCTAACGCCCCACCCCATTCGTGCCTTTTTCTCTTTTCTTTCTTCCTGTCCTACTTTTTAAAAAAAATTTTTAGATGTTGATGGACCTTCATTTTATGTATTTATGTTTATGTGGTGCTGACGATTGAACCCAGTGCTCACATGTGCTAGGCAAGTGCTCTACCACTGAGCTACAGCCCCTGCCCTGTGTCCTGCCTTCTTTACTTTCTACTCTATGGGGGCAGGCAGGGGCATGTGCAGATCCTCTCCATCCCTGCCATCTGTGGCTCAGCCACTAGCAGTGGGCTAGGTTTAGATTAAGGGATGGAGTGAGTGGGAGTTTTCAGTGTTCTTTTGTCTTCTCATTTTGCCAGAGCTAGTACCCCAGCACAGCAGACTTCCCTTGGTGTGAGTGTGGGAAGTCAAGCTTCCTGTTCCTGGGACTCAGTCTGAAGGGGTCAGGCTACCTTTGAAATGCTCATCCAGCTCAGTACTTTGCAAGTCTAGGCTAGGAAGTTGAAGTTACCTTGTCTGAGGTAGGAGTCTAGCACGAAGGCCTGTCTAGCTTCCACCCATGATGTTGAAGGACAGGAGAAAAAAAAAAATGGGAACACGTAAAAAAAAAAATGGTGAAAAAAAGCAACGAGACACCAGGCCAGGCCCTCTGAAGGTATGAGAAGCAGAGTGTTGACATTAAATAGAGAGAAGGGTGGAAAACCACCCTTTAATAGATCAAAGGAACACATCCTGCATATTTATTTCCATATTTATGCAAAAATTGCTCCATTGAAATGAAAAAAAGTACATTTGGGGGTACTGGAGATGTAGATAAGTGGTACAGTGTTTGCCTAGCACGCACAGAGCCCTGAGTTCCATCCCAATGCTGCCCAAAAATGTTAATTTGCAAAACACAAGTAATTAAGAATCATTAAAGAAAACCTGTTAATATCTTCTATATTGAATGTTAATCAAAGCCTCTGGATGGAGGCTCAGAGCCAGTGCAATGAATTATATGTCCAATTTGCATTCTTTTAAAAATTTGAGATATAATATACATACTATAAAGAATTCTGTTTTTTTTTTTTTTTCTTCTGGTACTGGGGATTGAACCCAGGACCTTTCATGCGAGGCAAGTACTTTACCACTGACCTATACCCTCAGCCCTAAATTTAATTCTTTTTTTTTCTGGTGCTGGGGATTGAACCCTGTGCATGGTAGGCAAGTACTCTACCAACTGAGCTATAGCCCCAGCCCCAAATTCATTCTTTTTAAATGTACAATTCAGT